ATCAGTTGTCATGTGTTGAAACTCCTGAGCAAAATGCCAGAGTTGAGCGCAAGCATCAACACATTCTCAATGTTGCTAGATCTCTTAGATTCCAATCAGGAGTGCCTTCACAGTTTTGGAGTGATTGTGTCCTCCATGTTGTGTTTCTCATCAATCGCATTCCTTCCTCAGTCCTTGATAACAAGCCCCCCTATGAATGCTTATACAACAAACCTCCTAGTCTGGCTGGTCTAAGGGTATTTGGTTCTCTCTGTTATGCTGCCAGACTTCATAGAGACAGAACCAAATTTGACAGCAGGGCTAGGCAATATATTTTTATTCGTTTTCCATCAGGTACCAAGGGTTTCAAACTTTATGACATCAACTCCCATTCTTTCTTTGTTTCTTGTGATGTCACTTTCTATGAAACTATTTTCCCTTTTTCCACTCCTAATTCTCAGCCTTCTATGTCCATTCCAGACCCCATCACTCCTACTCTTGCACCTATTCAAGGTACTACTCCACCTATTCCCAGTACCACTCCTTCTTCCCCTTCTAGTTCCTCAAATTCACCTTCTTCTCCTGCTTAGAAGGCCACCATCCCCTTGTTCTCACCTTCCTCTTCCTCTACATCTCCTGTCTCTACTGAGGAATCCTCCTCACCTTCTCTTTTGCCTGATGTGGTTGGTTTGCATTCTGGGGGGGGGGGGGGGGGGGGGGGGAGGATGTTGAGATAGAAGTGTTTCCTAATCCTAATGACACTGATGATGTTGCATTTCTCCGCAAGTCCACAAGGAATAAGACTGTGCCTGCTTGGCACAAGGATTATCACTTCAACATTGCAGCTTCATGCTCCAAGCATCATGTCTGGCCGCACTTCTCTTATGAGCAATTGTCCCCTTCCCAGAGGGCTTTTGCCATTAGTGTGATGCTAAATGAGGAACCTACTTCATATGCAGAAGCATGCAAAGATCTCAGATGGAATCAAGCATGTAATGAGGAGCTGGCAGCTCTGGAAGAAAACCAGACCTGGGAAGTGGTAAAATTACCAAAAGGCAAGAAGGCAGTAGGATCAAAATGGGTGTTCAAAATCAAACACAAGTCTGATGGAACCATTGAAAGGTTCAAGTCTAGAGTTGTAGCCAAAGGTTATACACAGATATATGGGATTGATTTTCTGGACACTTACTGCCATGTGGCCAAAATCAATTCAGTCAAGACACTCTTAGCAGTTGCTGCTTCCACAGATTGGCACATACATCAAATGGATGTGTCAAACGCGTTTTTTACATGGAGATTTGGAGGAAGAAGTGTACTTGGAAATTCCTCCTGGAGCTAATGTTCATAGAGATCAAGGTCTGGTTTATAGACTTAAGAAGTCTTTGTATGGCCTCAAGCAGGCCAGCAGGTAATGGTTTGCTAAGTTAACCAATGCATTGATGAAAAAAGGATATTCACAAACAGCTTCAGAGACTATTCCATGTTTGTGAGATGGATACAATGAAGGGTGGTTGTTGTATTAGTGTATGTTGATGATATACTAATTGCAGGAAGCTATTTGGGAGACATAGAGCAGTTGAAACTCTTCCTAAGCAACGAATTCAAGGTTAAGGACCTTGGTCAAATGAGTTATTTTCTGGGATTGGAAGTGTTGAGAATCACAAAGGGATCTCTTTGAGCCAGAAGAAGTACTGTCTTGAACTGGTGACAAACACAAGATACTTGGAAGCCAAAGGTTTCCTTTCACCTGTGGACTGTAATGTCAAACTATCAGCAACTCAGGGGGGACCATTACCATATGCCACTGTCTATAGAAGATTGATAGGTAGATTGCATTATCTCACCATTACCAGGCCAGATATAACTTATGCAATTCAACAACTAGCACAATTTCAGGCAAATCCGTGTGTTGAATATATTCAGGCTGCACACATAGTAATCAGATACCTGAAGCAGACACCAGGGCAAGGCTTACTGTTCAGGGCTGATTCAAAACATGAGTTGCAGGGTTTCTGTGATGCAGATTGGGCGAGTTGCCCTTACTCTAGAAGATCCTTAACAGGATATTGTACATTCCTGGGCACTTCATTGATTACTTGGAAGACCAAGAAACAAACAATGGTCTCTAGGTCATCTTCTAAAGCAGGATACTGAGCATTGGCACAAGTGGTCTGTGAAGTGCAGTGGCTTAGAAATCTATTGTTGGAGATGGGAGTCCAAGTAGGGGTCGGTAAACCCAAACCGAACCTAATTTAAACCAAACCGAAACCAAACAACATTAATTTGATTCGGAATTCGGAAGGGAAAAGGGTATATTTCGGAAACCAAGGTCCTTTCGAACGAACCGAATTTCTGAATTATTATAATTGCAAGCTCCAAATGGTGGATTTGTATGTTTGTACTTATTATGAGACTTAAATATTTGAATTATGTTAGTGTTTTATGACTTATGTGTTAAAATATTTAATTTTATCATTGATGATGCATTTAATTGCATATTTATTGTTAACATTAGGGGTGAAAAATAATTTAAAAGAGAAAAAAATACAAGCTAACCTCACAAGTTCGGTTTTTCATACAAAACCAAACTGAACCGAATTATAATTCGGTTCGAATTCGGTTTGATGGAACTCGGAAACCCGGTATGGATTATTTCGGTTCGATTTGAACCAAACCGACAGAATGTCCACCCCTAAGTCCAGGTACCTCTTCCAATTCACCTCTTCTGTGACAATAAATCTGCCTTACACATTAATGAGAACCCAGTGTTCCATGAACGAACCAAACATATAGAAATTGACTGTCATGTCACAAGGGAGAGACTGAAATCTGGACTTATCAAGTTGAGCCATGTCAGAACAGATGATCAAATTGCTGACATTTTTACTAAGGGAGTCACACGATATCATTTGAAATTCTTGTTGGACAATCTCGGAGTGTTCAATGCTTACTCGCCAGCTTTTGGGGGAATATCAGACTTGGAAGCTGAAGATTGAAGACTTGCAACAAGCAGGGTTGCTGTGTTCGTGTGAACCAGAAGAAGAAGAAGAGAGTGTTTGAAAAGAAATCAAGGCAGAAACAAAATGTTTCTGCCTTTCCTTCCACCTGACTTAAGCGAAGAGCAAAACGGTGTCGTGGAGCTTGAAGTTTACCGTTAGGTGGAACCAGGAAGAGCCAATGACGAGAAGACAACTGGCTAGAATTTACAACTCATTTTCGAATTACCGTTTTGTTTTAACTTCCCATTTCCAGTTTTACTGTAGTGTGTAGTTTACTCAACTTGGAACTGATATATATATATATATGCAATGATTTAGAGACCTCTCTCCTTGCGGGTTTTCCCAATTCTGTACCGCCTTCTTCTTCTTGTACAAACCCTAAGCTCATTGAGCTTTTCTATACTTTTACGACATCCCACCACAACTCAAATGGAACACTGGATTAGAATGAACCTGAGACGACAGTGGACCTAGAATGTGACTAGTGGAAAGTTGTTAGCCAAGAAAGCAAGGTGGCCATTTGAGTTGTAAGATGATCTGACCTTTGCTTCCTTCCCTTCCCCAGTTTTGGAATCCGTTGCATGGGGGATCAGTTGGGGGCCAGTGAAAGTACCGCATGAATACAACCTTTATACAACAACACATAGGAAACTGTCTATATGGTGAATTGATGATAATGATTTCCTCTAAACCTTGTCGATCCACTTTGACATTTATGATCGTCGGTTTGAGTCTTGACGATAACTTGAAATATCTCCTGATACCACTTGGCATATTTTAATTGGTATATTCATTAGTTTGTTTATTTTACCGTTACTGTACAGTGAATACTGAACCCCATATATATATTGAAAAAAACACAGAGGAAAGGGCATCTTTGCCAATTCCACACAAATGGTTGTTGTTCTCAACAAATCCTCTCAAACCCTAGCCATGTATTGGGATAGGTTTAGAACTTTCTCAATGGGAATTTCATGTGTCGTACCGGAGGATTTGGTGTTGTCGTGATTCTGGACTGGGATTCCCTGCTACGCCGGCAAACTCTCACCGTCGACAGACTCGCTGCGGGGATGACTGAAATTAGACAAATTTTTTAACCTAACATTTCATTGAAATTTTACGTTTTTTACCTAAATTTTTTATTATAAAGTTGTACGTAGTATCTAAAAATTTCAAAATTTATATTTTGATCCAATGATTTAGTTGTCATGAACAATACACCAATTCATTTGATCCATATATCCAACAATCGAATCTAACAATCCATGTATCAATTCATTTGCCAGCTCTACTATTTAGGACTCCTGATGCATTTTGGAATACAGAGGGTTGCAAATTGTGGTTTTGGCCTCTACCGTTGTAGCTATATGCCCAATGAAGTTACTCATCCATGCATATGCGTGGTTTAATCAAATAAGGTAGACATCATGTTGTTGTGACGGTCAAAATTTGGACGTCCTATATATATTTATATTATCAACAATTTAACATTGTTATTCTTGTTGGACAACACGGCACCATTAATATTTGTTTGTACCAATGACTTGAACATCTCCCCTACTTCCGCTGGCGTACTTTGCATGAGGGAACATGGTGATGGCCGATAATTTGTATTGGTAGAGAGAGAAGTTAGTGATGAGGAGATGGAAGACAATTGGGAAGTAATAAGTAAAGTAATAATAATTAATGCTAGGTCTCCTTTCTTTGGGGAATTCTAGGGAACTTAACTAAATTACAAACCCGGCATTCATTACTGTATTTATTAATGTAGCTAGACGTATATCAACTGATGGTAAAAGAAAATTAATTGGTGTATTTATTATTATCCTAATTAGTAATTGCATGGCTCGGACTCCTTGGACACGCTTTGTGTACCGTATATGTATATCACTTGAATGAATCCTTATTTGTCTATATATACACATAACACACACAAACACACGAAGGAATAGCGGCGCCGCCGAGGAGATCTACCCAGAGAAGGAAGAGAAAATATAGTAAAAACAAAAAAGAAGCAAGAGGATGGGATCGGAGGAGTTGCGCATCCAAGTCCCTTCGGGTTTCGAATTGGACAAGGCCGTCTGCAACCACGGCTTCTTTATGATGGCACCAAACCAGTGGGTGCCGTCCACCAAGACGCTGCAACGGCCCCTGCGCTTAGCCAATTCCCAAACCACCGTCTCAGCCTCCATCTCCATGGCGGCGCCGGACTTTAAATTTCTCGTCGTCAGGGTCGCTAACGGCGGCGAGCTGTCCCAACCGGACCGGGAAGCCGTCCTGGCCCAAGTGCGCCGCATGCTTCGGTTGAAGCCCGAAGATGAAACGGCCGTCCGGCAGTTCCAAAACCTTTGCCCGGACGCTGGACAAACTGGGTTTGGCCGACTCTTCAGATCTCCTTCTCTCTTTGAAGATGCCGTCAAGTGCATTCTCCTCTGCAACTGCAGGTGGGTAAAAGTACGTACATGTGTATTATTAATCTTCCAATTCAACATTAAGGTACGTATATCAGTAGTTACAAGCTTTGATTTGGAGGAATCTGAGAAGCAGCATTATGCTCGTTTATCGTAAAATATTATCAAGTTAGCTAGGTCACGCGCGTGGCGTAACCCGAGAAAGTAGCTACTTAAAGGCCGGCCTGGGCCTGATATTGGAATGTAATGCAGATGGAAGAGGAGTCTGGACATGGCCGAAGCGTTATGCCAGCTGCAGCCGGAGCTAATCACAAGAGGATCAGCAGGAGCGAGGAAACGGAAGAGAAACAACAACGGCAAAGTAGCAGTGGTAGCCCGGCCGCCGCCCGCTAACTTCCCCAACGCCCGAGAATTGGCGGGGCTAGAAGCTGGAGATTTGGCGAAACGGTGCAATCTCGGGCTCAGAGCAGCCTACATTGTGAATTTGGCGACCGAGGTAGCAACCGGAAAACTGATACTTGATGATGACATGGTTGAACAAGTTTGCAAAGCCTCCATGGATGAGGAAAGTTCCTTTTACAATAAGATGCTAAACTTCTATGGGTTTGGAAAGTTTTCGGTGGCCAATCTCATGATGTGCATCGGCCTCTACAGCTACCTCCCCGTCGACTCTGAAACTGTTCGACTCGTCCAAAAGGTGCGTGCTTTGCTTGCACTACCCGCCCGTTGCGCATCCCTTACCATCGATGATTAGTTAATTAAGGCCCGCACCTAACCTAACTTAATTCTTTATTATCTATAATAATAATGATGATGTTTTTTTGTTTTCTCCATCCTTAATTTCCCACACAGAAACGCCGAATCGGATGTCACAAGCGAGAGGTGCGAGTTGCATATGAGCAGTATGCTCCATTTCAGAGCTTGGCGTATTGGTACGTACGTACGGACTACTTCATTAATTACTGTCATCTATTTACAAGCTTAATTAACGACAGAGATAGATATTGGGAATTATTAATTAGTAGCTTTATTATCCTGCTTTCATTCCAAGACACAAATATTTAATTACCCTTTACTTTTTCACTATCTCTCTCTATATATACATACATATATGTTTTATGCAATATACAAGACTACCGTAATATGCATGCATGCATGTGTGAAATTGGCGCCAGGTCGGATCTTTTCGAAGACTACGAAGAAACCCTAGGGAAGCTGAGTGAATTGCCAAAGTCGGAGTATGGAAGAGTGACCGGGACTTCTCCCAACAAAGGGGAAATGAAAGAGCAACCACGGGGACGAGTTGTGAGTTCCCAAAAACGGCGTCGAGGTAGCCGACGAGCTCGCCGGCTTTAGATCATCAATAGTGCTACTCTACTCTACTTAATGGTTTAATTTGTCAGTGAAAACCATTTTTTCTCTCTTTTATTAATTAACTAGTTTCAGCATGGTCAATTGGCCAAATGAAATGTCAACGTCTATCTAATAATGAAAAACTATTGCACTTTTCTTCTAGCATATTTTTTATTGGATATATGAAAATAGTCATTATAATGTTCTTCTAACATTAATATTCAAATTTCTAGCTTAAAATTAAAAAGATTGGATTAGGCAAAAAAATAAAACCCAAAAATAGTCACGTTTCGCAAACCAAAGGAAAATAACAATATAATTTGACCTCAAACCCGGTCCATTGCAACGGTCGACTTGACAGCTGTTTGCGATCCGTTTTTCTCATTGATTATGATGAAAGTGGGTCAATCCGCGAGTTGACAGTTTTGATTATAACTTACTGGAATTTTTTGGGACGAAGAGTGCATTGATAGGGGATTATTTCCATTCAGGTGAAAGGGGTCAAATCAACAAAACGGCAAAGTTCTGTATCACCAACTGGAAAAAAAGTTGAGGGACTTAACCTCATATGTATGGGGAATTCTTTAGTGCAGTGACTGCACTGATGCCGCCCATTTCTCACCGGCTACAGCCGGTTTCTGGCTTTCTCTGGTATTGGGCTTGGGCTACGGGAGCACAAAACAATTATTTACAGATTATTGTAGTTTAACATTAAATACTTTACACAAATGTCATGTAGTATTTGTTTTTTTCGTGTTTTGTACTTTCGTCCAATGTTTTTTCTCAATTGAAACCCATGAAAAAACAACAAATTAAGAGCTAAAGTAAACATGAGTCAATTTTAAACTATTTTTCTGTGTATTTAAAATATTAAGTTAATATTATCAATGACGGTGCTAGAAATTTGAATTGAAACTAAAAATACAAAATCAAGAGATTTGAACTGTGATAATTAAAGATGAGCTAGTGTCTTATTAATTACTCTATTTCTAATAGAATTTGCATGTATTTTTACTTATATTTATTACTCCCTATCATTAATGTGGTTTCGTCGCTGTTAGGGATGAAAATCAAACGTGCAACCACAAGTACTCAAGCATCCCCAACCACTAATAGGAAGACATTCTCCCGTTGACTGGGTATGAGGGGAATATGGTTAAATGCCGCAAAATTTTTTATGGGTATGGAGTGGTATGGTTTTAGACTCCCCTCCCACATACTCCTACCCATACCACCAAGAATATTTTTTGTACATAAAAATAGATAAATCAAATTGTAACAAGTCTGAAAAGAAGAGTAAAAAAATTGAAATGTAATTGAGTGGTCACCAAAATCAAAGTATAATTTCTTTCCCTCAAATTCTTCCTTCACCCCTTCACTTGTTTCTCACTTTTAAAAAATTATTTTAGTTATTTATTGGTTAATAAATGTGTTGGAGTCTTACGTGAATAATTTGGATAATATTGTACTCTTTCTTACGGCTCATTAATATTTTAGGATTAAAGGTGTTAAATTTGTATTAAAGTGATATCTTTGTTGATTTCATGATTTACTAGGTCCATATATTGTTATATTTATAATTAAAGATCTACATGTCAAATTTTAAATATAGTAATGTTGGATGTACAAGCAGGTATTACCCACGGGTATTTGAATAAAATTGGAGGAGGCTAAAACCATACCACCCCATCCCAATCAGAATTTTTGTGGTTATCCGTACTTCCCCATAGCCAGTCAATGTGTTGATTCCCCATATTGATTGTGCCGGAGCAGTCGGATACCCATGATTGCGGGTTTGATTGTCATCCCTAGAAGCGACAGAGCCACGTTAGTGATATGGGGTCATAAATGTAGGTAAAACACATGTACATTTAGTAATTTTTTTAGAAATAGAGTAATTCACAAGATATTAGACATCTCCAATTATCACAGTTCAATTAGTTTGAGTTTATATTTTTTAGCTTCGAATTGAATTTCTAGCACCGCCAATGATAATATAAAATTAATTTTAATACGCGGTAAAAGTATTTTTAAACAGACTCATATTTATTTTTTAGGTTTCCAACCAAAAATCTGCATATGTTGTTTTTTACGTGGTATAAATTGTAAAAAAAATAGAGAACAAAAATACAAAATATAAAAATAAAATATTACATGAATTTCGTGTTAAGTATTTTATGTTATTTAAACTACAGAAAACTTAAAAGTTTTTTTGTTTTTTGGTTACCGTAACAAGTAAAGGGGAAACCCAAGACCGGGTATGGCCGGTCCAAAATGGACGGCATCAGTGCAGTCACTGCACTAAAGAATTCCCGCATATGTATTACTTAATGAAAGGATTGCAGACATATATAAATCTGGCCAAAATTCAAAACACAAGGACTAAACAATTAGATAAGAAACACGCATATATACATAAATAACTGTTGTATGCTAGTAAAACAATAGCCATCTCTTCTCAAAATACTGTCACAATTGTAAATAATAATCTTTAATCTAAAAGAACATCAACACGTACGTAATGCGCAAGCTAGTGCAAGAACTAACAGCCGGTACATACAATGAGCAGTACCATTGAATATCTTCAACGGCAGCAAATCACGATAATCAGCCTCATTGTTCTAGTCTCAAATTTGGATAAAAAAACTCGTACCGATTCCCGCGAATAAAGTTTAAAGAATGTTGAGGAAGTGAGCAGACATATGAGCATCCCCATGACTCAGAACAGCTGATTCAACTCTCCTAAGATGAGAAGATGGGAATATAACATCCACCGTGGATGATCCACGTCACTTGATGCATCCTCAATTGTTAAATTAAATATATGTTATACACGCTTCCGAAACTTCCAGTGTGCACTTCAGTCTCTAATCTTCTTCCTCGTATCGGCTGGAACTCCTAACTCAGCAACACGTCCATCCTCAAGCTCAATACACCACTCGTCCCCTTTATATGCTTGCTTCTCAATGCCCTGCCGTTGTCTGTACTTCAAAGTATATAATCCACGGTGGAAAAAAAATTATTTGTTCTTTACTCATTGCAATTTCACCACTCACACCATCGCACCTATAATATTCCCATCACTAGGGCTGAAGCTTTGACCCTGAAAACCCTTCGACCCGCCGCGAGCCGACCCGATCCTTAGGGTCGAGCCGGGTCAATTTGTATAAAGGGTCAAAAGAGGGTCGGGTCATCGCGAGAACCCTGTATGGGCCGGGTCAAATTACACTTGACCCATCCTGACACTACTAACCCGAAATGACCCTACCCCTGTAAAAATTGACGAAGACAAACACACACTCATACAACATTTCATTCTCTTCTCGGCTGAAAGAAAAAATCACCCTAAATATCCAGCATCTCTCGACGGCTTCTCCGAGCTCAGGGACGTCACCGACTGCATTCATCGTCGCCAACGCTGTAACGACGTTCTCATCGACTGAAAACCCATCGACTGATTCTCGACGAGTGTTGACTCACTTCTACTGTCACCCTAGGAATTGGCCAAGTGTAAACACTTCCTAAAGCGTAGTATAGCGGGTTTAGGTTTAATTATCAACCCGGGTCCTAGATTTGATGACTACTCGGTGAATTCTTGTTATCTAGCAATGAAACTTTAATGCAAGTCTAAACTAACAAACTAACAAAGCAAGTAAACGGTTGTATTCAGGTTAAGAGAGGTCACCCGGATATGGTTCCCCCTAGACTGCAGTTAAGCCGGATTGTAATTACCAAGTTCAGTTTCTATGATAGTTATACTGCGGAAGGTTCTTAAACAGCCTGAAGTCTCGACTAAAGGTCTTCAGACCCTCTCAATCTGAGTCTCTAGCGGGCGACTAACCTCCACCGGAGTAAACAGATTGAGGCTTTAACAAACAAAACCTCCACTACCGGAGTAAACAGATAGAGACAACAAAAACACACACACTGGATTGTAGACAACAAAAACACATAAATGCATGCTCGCTATCTTTGACCGTCTGGTCGGCGAGATTATGGAGGTGTTTATGGACGACTTCTCGGTTTATGGAGACTCATTCTCTCACTGTCTCCATAACCTGGAGCTTGTCCTTAAACGGTGTGAAGAAACGAACCTGGCACTGAGTTGGGAGAAGTGTCACTTCATGGCTCGAGAAGGCATAGTTCTTGGGCATAAGATCTCCAAGATGGGGATTGAGGTGGACAGAGCGAAGATCGAGACTATCAGCAAGCTGCCTCCTCCTACATCTGTTAAGGGGATCCAGAGTTTTCTTGGTCATGCAGGGTTCTACAGGCGGTTCATCAAAGATTTCTCGAAGATTGCTCTGCCCCTGACGAAGCTTCTAGAGAAGGATGCCCCTTCCAGTTCACTGATGCATGCACAGCGGCTTTCACGACCTTGAAGGAGAAGCTCACACAAGCTCCTATCATGGCTGTTCCTGACTGGTCCCTGCCATTTGAGATTATGTGCGATGCCAGTGACTTTGCTGTTGGAGCTATGTTGGGGCAGAGGCGAGATCAGCATTTCCGACCTATCTACTACGCCTCGAAGACCTTGAATGATGCCCAGGAGAACTACACCACCACGGAGAAGGAGCTGCTAGCGGTGGTGTTTGCCTTCGATAAATTTCGTCCTTATCTGGTCTTGTCCCATGTGACCGTGTATACAGATCACTCCGCGATTCGATACTTGATGATCAAGGCTGATGCCAAGCCTAGGCTCATACGATGGATCTTACTGCTGCAGGAGTTTGACATTGAGATTCGGGACAAGAAGGGAGCGGAGAATGTTGCTGCCGATCACCTCTCCCGGTTGGACGCACCCCCTGCGGAAAACCTCGAGGAGGAGATCAATGACTCCTTTCTAGATGAGAGACTGATGATGATGTGCCTGGTGGAGAGTGTCACCCCCTGTTATTCTGATTTTGCAAATTATCTTGTGGGCCAGCAGCTGCCCAAGGGGATGACAACTCACGCCAAGAGGAAGTTTTTCTCCGACCTGAAGTACTACTTCTGGGATGACC